TAGAGCAAACTGCCGTAGTAGGAGCGAGATCCTCGGAGCAGAGCTATAGCATCGCGGTATAGCCTTCTTACATTTCCGAGCGGTTCTTAGTGTGCAGATTCCTGAGTCCAACACTCCTTCTATATCTTTTAGTATGATAGAAGCTTTCAGATCCAGGACACCTACAGACGCTGATGAATGAGGACTCATGATTGTACTTAGTAATAACTGAAAATAAGAATTCTGAATAGTAGTCCAAACTAGCTCGACAGTTCGCATAGATCAACACAATTTGGGATTCCTAAATTAGGAATCCCGAAAGATCTGATTGTAGGTACGAATGTATGCTACAGACTCATAGTTAATCCTATCGTCTTATTCGAAGACTTCCCTATCAGCATCTTCGGGGAACTCAAGGGGAATCCGAGCCCAGCAAACTCAACAATCGGCGAGGAGCAAATATGGTCAGATCATCCACATAAATGATCTGAGCTGAGCAGTAATCCCTGGTCAGTCAGCGATAAATTCTCAAACGGCTTCCTCCATATGGGCTCCACCAAAAGGGAGTCGATCGCAGACCAAATGGATATCGACGGTGGGACACTGCTAGCGGTTTCCCGTCAGGGCGCTCGCAAATGATAGAAAGGAAACGAGACTCGTCGGGGCGAACGGGGAGGTTTCTAAACGCTCCGGATTAATCAAGACAGAACATTCCTCACTCTACACCCGTTTGAGCCTCCATCTTCTTGATTTCGTGTAATACCGCAACATAATGGCCATGAAACGTTCGATAATTCGATCTTTCCACTCACACAAAAGTGAGCAAAACTTGGGTTATCGGGTACCTATAAACCACGCGAACTGCAAGTCAGGTATAGCAAACGTGTCGTACTTCTCTGATGGCCACCGGTAGCGGAGAAGCTCGTACTCGCATGAGCCTCGTGTCCGTAACGAAAACTGGGGTTGCTGTTCCACAGAGAAACTCTCTATCAGGGAAACGAGGTTCGCAGACACTGTCTGCCAGACAGCGGCAAAATCTCCAACTCGGACCTGAAAAGAATGGCACAGATTCAATAGACGTTACTTTGGTGAGTCATTACTTTACTGTGTAGCGGAAGCAAATGCCGTGTCTGGTATTTCTGTGCCAGTATCATAAAACATCGAGCTGAACCGATATCACTGAAAAGTATCGTATTCTCAGAGCAGAAATACGACAAAGCCTGACACGGCTCAGAGCACTACCCGAAAAGGAGACATCGTTCATAGGTTTTTTCAGTCCGACCCCTGCGTGTGCCTCCAGCACTGTTTGCACTCCCCATGAATTCTTAGATGCTCACCAATTTGCTCTTCTTCACAGACAACAACCTACACACGTAGTGCTACGGGAATGGTCCACCATAGCATACAACAATGTACGTGGATATGGTACGCATCGGCGAAGCCGGTCTGCTTACATCGCAATGACCACACAGTTTTCGGTTCCCATACGTTGCACCGCTTCGACCTCGTCCTCATCATCGACGATATCATCAGTAGATATCCGTTTCATGTTGTTCACAACCTTCGCACCATCTGCAACAGTAAGAGCTGCTAACACGAATGCTACTAGGAGTTCCCAACTATAAACTGAACAACGAACAACACCCCCGGATCGGAATCATGGTAGCATAAGTTGCAGTAGCATCATCCCACTGGCATATGCTACTCAACAGCTACTGATCGATACGGTACACCCTCACGGTCGACCCCGCACACGAATCGTGTGACACAAGTCGCAGTTAGTTATACACCTTCTCAATCTCCAGCTAAATCCGCAGCACGGCGACATACATCACGCGACGTGACGTGATGTTTCCTTAGCGCTCGCAAAGCCGCACGCCATTCAAATTTCGAATCGATTTTCCCCAACCGCAACTACGTGAGGTACCTTTCATACCTCTTACCAGGCGGCATACCCCTAGGTCATGCGATGCAGACAGTAATGCCATGTTCTTCGACTAGGCTTCGTACGCGACTCTGACGAACTCGTTAGTACAGCCTCGGCGGAACACCTCGGCGACCCCCTGCCACACCGCAGCAGTTTCGGCTTCGACTGTTGCCAACCCACTCCTTTGCATGGTTGGCACCAGCCGACTTGCTAGCCCTCGTACCAAATGACCGCATGTGTTTGAGGGTATGATAATCCGACGCAGGAATTGCACGAAAGGTTCTACCTGCTGTCCGTCATCGATGCTGCTGAGCCAAAAGCTGCCGTCGCCAACGTACTGTAACAGTACGATATGAACTGTTTTAAACAGTACTACTGTTTAAAACAGTCCATCCAGAGGTCGGAATCGAGACCCGAGAATCTCGATCTCGTCTCGATCTCGTCTCGATCTCGAATCGAGACGAGATCGAGAGGTTTTCTCAACAATGGAGATCGAACTGCGAAGTCAGGGAGGCGTTTGTGCTCGCCAATGCGGCAGATCCTTCGGAAATCGGTTCCAGGCGTTTTCCAGATGTCGGATCGGGTATTCTTTCTGTCCTCCAACACAGGCGCGAACCTTGCTGCATATAATTTTTTACCCCCTTGGGGCCTGTCTTGCTTCCAGTCAGCGAATGAGAACCTTCTCTTTTTTGCAACCGGGCTCTTAGGACCATCCCTAGCATGATCAGTCACCACAGCAGGGTCTTCAATGGAGCTTGACGACGACTCGATTCGTGGAGAGCCGCTCGTCGAAGTCATTTAACAGATTGAGATCAGAAGGAGAGACGAATTACGAGCAAACTCAACCCGGATAGTGAAAACACTTTCATATGTTTTGGGAATTTGCCCACCGGGCCGAACGTATGTAACTTTCGGGCCCAACGTATGTAGCCCAAAAAAAGGGCTATTTTTAGAGTATATCGCGGGCCTCCGGCCCGATTTTATACTCCAATAACATTACTCATTTAGCCTGCCTTGGCCGTGCATCATGCACGGTGCATGGCCAACCAAGTTAGGGCTCTTTGCCAGTCGCACAACGCAGGTTCGATTCTCAGCGCGTGCAATATTCCACTTCGAGTTCGGCGCGCTCGCCCGGTTCGAGAATCGAGAATGAGATCGAGATGATGGGAAAATCCTCCGAGATCCTACGATCGAGAGTTAGTGACGCGGAAGCTCCGCGGCGGAACATACATCGAGACGAGATCGAGATATATCGAAGCAGCTTTTTCCGACCTCTGCACGATACGATATATTCCGAAAGGTGGAAGTATAACCCAACACGATACGGAGTATTTACGAAATTTCTCGACACGATTCGATACTTGTTATTCTCCAGTGGAGAATCTCCACCGTGCCGGGCCCCGGCAGCCGGGGTCGCTCTGTCCGAGTCGGACAGATACTCGTCAGGGACATTCATCACGACCTGGTTGGAGAATGACTCAGACAAGTAGTGCCCAAGGCGCCTACGCAGGGCGGCATCGTGACAACTTTCATAGACGGTCACAAACGTAGTCCGTTACTTCTCGGAAGACCATCGCCTGCGTCTCCGTAGAATGATGGATGTTAAAATCGGATTAGCCGAGCGAGAGGAGCACGTCGCCAGCGCACATGCGCGACTTCAGCTTCCGCAACGAAGTCATGGCCGGCAGAGGGTTGGTTGGGTGTCCCGTCCACTCTGCATCATGCAGTGCCTCTTCCAGCTTGAAGGACTCCGGTTGTCCCTTGTGCCGGCAGCGATTGCGTCAATCGCTGTCCCAAACCAGGCTTCGCCGGAAGACAACTCTCTGGCACGGTTTCAACCGCGGAGAAGCTACGTTTTTCCTGAGCATCCTCCCAAGTGTTTCAGTAAAGACTTGATCAGTAACACTCGCCATTACAGGTCACCC